GTCTCATGCTGCTTTTTTCCCCTGCTCTCTGTCTTTCATTACATATAGGATTTTTGCCTGTTGTCATTTTTAGAGGTATTTTGGAGAAAGTTATTTTTCTTTGTTTGGTTTTCTTTATTTCCCATCATACTACTTTTTCTTACTTCTCCAGATTTCTATATGGTTTATATTTAAACCAGGTACTATTCTGACAGGTTTTGTGCTGCCACATGAAGAAAAGCCATAGAAACAATCTTTTTTGGTGGACCTAAAGTTTAGTACCCAAATATTGTTCCTGAGGCAAATTTGAATTTGCTCAAACAATATGTCTGCTCATCCAGTAACTCTCTCATTGCAGATGCAGTTTTGCTCCTGAATTCAACCATATATTTATGAACTGTATTTTTATTTTTAACACTTTATGAGGCTGTGATTTAAAGGCATTGGTGCTATTTAATCCTGTCTGTTGTTTTCTTCATGAATTGATAGTTTCTTGTTATGTATCTAATTACCATTTAATTTGTAAGTTCTTCTCCAACCATTTCATGAAGCCCCCTTTCTTTTGTTAATTGCTTTGTAATGAGAAGCATGTGAAAGAAAACATAAAGGTCATCGTGTAGTTGAAAAATGCTCTTGACACATCTTGGCCTCTTTTATGACTGCTGGACTGTTGCCATTTGCTTCAAGGGTGGTGTGAACAGGGTCTGGAGGGTAATGTTCTTCTCTCACCATTGCAGCATGAATACACCTCCAAGTCAAAACACTAATATCTGATACATGTGTTTTCTTATGCTCTCAAATAGCCACAATCAAAACCCAGGCTCTAAATGTGTTCATTTCATTGCACAACATGTTTCACATGTTCTGGTTGTTGTGAACTAAGGGTGAGCTTTCAGTGCTTGCCTGGCTGTCTGTAAATTCCCATTTCATTTAAGCACACGAGTTGATAGTTTTGGTGCTGGTGAGCAGCAAAGACACACAAGCATCTGAGACCTTGGAGGGAAAAATATTCTTCTGGATAACCCAGGACGAGATCAGGTAAAGTTTGAGAGAGATTCACAAAAGCCCAGTGTTTCAAAACAGACATCAGTATTCAGAAGGAGCTCGGCATGTCCAACTGAACAAGTCAGTATTTTACAGGACTGTAATCCCTCAAGTGCAGAGTGAAAGAGAGTTGTTGGCTGTATGCTCTGCTGATGAATTTTCTTTTAATTGTATTCCATAATAATAATTCTGTACTTGATTCTCATGTTTAAAGTTATATACTGGGACATGATGGGGGCGCAGTATTCCAAACTTGTGGACATCTGTAGCCCTGCCAATTTCAGTAGGCCCGCAAGAATTTTTCAAATATAATCTGGCGCATTAAATTCACACAGCATGACCACAGATCTGTTAAAAATATATCAATGAGCAATTTATGATTTTTTAATATTAATGTGAATATAGAAGATGTTGAGTCAGTTTTCCTACAGCAAATGTTAAACTAAATGGGACATCACCCATTAGCTACTTATGATATTTCATTGGCCAATTAAAACTTCAGCTTTCTTTCATTCAGATGTATCTAATTATCCTTTTTGTTTTTTTTTAGTTTAACAAATATATGTTTTCAGGCTTTCTGAGCTATACTTACTACCTTCCATAAATATTCCATTCTAATATTACAACTTTTTTTCTTAGTGGCTTGCAGCATATCTAGTAAAGTATTATTCTGGGGTTTGGAATAATGACTGGCTTAAGAGTGATTTAGCAGATATAAATAAAAAGTGTAAATGAATATGGTTCTGCTTTTCAAATGACTTAAGTGTCCTGCTTGTTTCCTGCTACAGTAAGTTATCATTCATAGATACCATGAATTTGTTTTGAAGTTCATATTAGTACTAAAATGATCCCAGAAAGCTATATTAAGAATGATTTTATGCATGTTGTGACTTAGGAACAAATCTGATTTAAAATATTTTTTCATGGCTATTGGAAAGGATCTTCTGTGCCCTCCTTGGAGAAGCCAAATCTTTCATCTGGGATTTAATTATTCAAACAAACAAACAAAGAAACAAAAAAAGCTTTATTTTGGGTTAGTTAGAATGTTGCTCCATGATATAGTCAGAAAAATGTTCTCAAACAACCACTGCAGAAAAACATAATTGTGCTCACAAACAGAGTCGTTAGAGATGAATGAGCAGTGAGTGGACAGAATGTGTTGCTTGATAAATTTAGCTCTGCCTCTGACTGCCACTTGTTTGGGAGCTGCTTTGGTTTTCCTTGAATCCGTTTGTTACTCTAAATTAGCCTCCAGTCATGGTAGGAGCTCTTGTGTGTTCCCACGGCCCTGGGAGCAATGCCAAGCATGTTCTGCTGCAAGCAGAGCCCTCTGAACAGGCTGGAGGGGATGGGACAGAGTGAGGATCTTTGTCTTTGGGCAAAGCCTGAATATTGATCTCCTTTTGATAAAAAGCCAAAAAATATTGCTGATATATGATAATACAGGTACATTACCCAGGTATAGAAAACAGACTGAGAACGTGGAATGTCCTGATGTCATCAAATGCAAAAATCTCACCCAAATATGGTGGAGCAACCATCTCTAAAGCACATCCTAATCTCAGCAGAATGGAAAAAAAAATGGAACCTCTTAAGTACAAAAATCTGCTGGTGCAGTTCCTGTCTTTGAAACAAGCAGTGAGCAAACTTGCTACGAGCATGTCTGTTCTCACTGAAGAAACACAAATTGGGTCTACAGAGAACTTGAAGGAGCCCATAGCAGCCCTCAGCACTAACATTAAATGATCCTTACACTAAGGCACTGTAGCAGGAAAATAAGAAAGAACTCTACCTGTAACATAGCTGCCTGCAGTGGGATCAGAATAATCAGCTCACTGCACTCACAATGGCATTTGCAAGAATATGTTAATATTCAGAAATGGAATTCTTACCCGCTAGATCAACCATGAGCTGCCTTAAGACAACAGATTAACACAGACCCTAAGGGAGCCCAGTTGTGATTCAGGCCACTGTTGTACAAGAGAGAAAAGAGCTCCTTTAAAGATGTGAAAATAAGAGATAAGGCACAGCTGAAACAGAGAACTCAAAACAGGCAGGATGAAGAACATTGTGAAGAACACAATGATGCTGGTCACCTAGAACTGGCTTTAAAAAAGCATTTATTGAAGTATATAGACAGCATTGGTATTGTAGCTATGTTATAAGATATACAGTCATTTTAAGAAAACAGTTTTAATGAGTATCATCGTGGTGAACTGGATAGAGACACAGATTCAGAGACCTTTCTAGGCAGCAGAACCACTTGTGGAAGCAATATTTTTTGAAAGAGTATAAGAAAGCAACCAGGTAATAAAAGCACAGAAAATTTCAAATGAACTATTAAACATAAGAAGATGTAAATTAAGTCTAAGTTATTTCTATGTCAGGAATTCTGAAAAAAAATACAATTGATCCAAAGTAGTATTTTACTATGTGCAGGAACTTTTTACCTCACAAGATCCCATCTGATTTTTACAGTTTCATATATGCTTAAGAGTTACACAGAGTTTTTAGCTAGAAAATATGAAGGTAATACAGAAAAACAAGTGCCTTAAATATTTTTGGTTTGTCAACTGCTTGAGAAGAGATGGAAATGCATGATTTTGCAAGATATGTGGTGATATAGCTCAAGAGACTACTGTGGTCACAATGAAAAATTTGGATTCCCAGGAAAAGTACTAAACTTTGTCTTTGCAGTTTGTAACGAGGGAATAGGATCTCTGCCTAATTTGTTATGAAGTGATGCTAATTCAAAGTCTACAATTGACCAAAAGGAAGTTGTAATGAAGAGGTCATTGGCCTCTTCTCTGAAGTAACAAGGGATGGGGCAAGAGAAAATTTCCTCAGGTTGCACCAGGAGAGATTTAGAATGGATATTATGAAAGCTTTATTCACTGGGATAATTCACTGGAAGGGTTGTTGGACATTGGAACAGGCTGTCCAGGGAAGCGGTGGTGGGGTCACCATGCCTGGAAGTATTGAAAGGTGTGGGTGAGGCACTGGGACATGCTGTTTAGTTGTGGACTTGGCAGTGCTGGATGAACAGCTGGCCTTCATGACCTTAACAGCCTTAAATGAGTCTATGATTCTGTGCCACAATAAGGTAGGAAGTAATTATTATAATCATTGTTATGATGGGAAGAGGAAAAGTGTTATGATACTTGCAAAAATCTCTCCTTGTTTTAGGTGGCCTTTATTGACTTCTAATTTGTGCTGATACATAGGTCAATTTACCATTCATTAGATGAAAAACAGGTTATAAATGACTGTTTAAAAGCTGTGCTTGAAGTGGCAAGAAACTCCAAATAAATCTAAAACTATGAGTGGATGCTGAGCAAGCTTGCTTAGTAATAATCTGATAATACCAAGAAATCAAACAGTGTAATACTTGGAAACATTTCTTGCTAATAGTGCCTTGTGAATGATGTGCAGCAGAAGCATGATTTTCTATTTCTCTAATGAGCATATTTAGGCACCAACAACCACTGGGGAGAAGCAATGCTGCACGTCTGTTTCTTGGTCTACACATTTTTTATCAGGTTTTATGATGAGCACATACAATAAGGATGAGAAACTCCTGGTGTTGAGACACTTTTTGGTGAGGAAGGATAGCTGGTATATAAAAGGAAATCTTTGATAAAGATTTCAGGAGGGTTAATGAAGATTAAGTAGTGATATCTGATAATTTATGTGGGCTGAAGCGCTGTGGTGTTAGAATAAAAGCTGATTGAATATTTCATGGTAGGCTTTTTATGTATTTTTAAGTGTGTGGCTCACCACAGTAAAAAAAAAATAACACAGAGAGAACCAAGCCTGAGAGGTTTCATGAGAAATACCTGCAGCAGGAAGAATGTGACTGTGGTAAGTTGTTAGAGTGGTCCAGGATACCTAGCACCCTTTCTGCTTCACTGTCAGCCCTGATTATTATTCTTTTTAAGTATGTGATATGGAGAATTTAATAACATTTCTGCTCCTAGATGCAGACCCAGCTAAAGGAAGAAGATGACAGTGGTTATATCCAGCTAAGGAAAATCTGTGAACTATGCTGCCTGCAGGTATGGCTAGTATCTGCACACTTAAACTGCTCTTCAATTTTCACTGAATTTGCTGTTTTGCAAAGCAAGTTCCTAGAATATACTTGTCATGAATAGATGTGGAATACAGACCCCACAGGGTCATACAAGGTAAAGTGAATGGAGTTTTCTCTCTTAGATATTTGCAGGATTTTATTTCTTTTGCTCTAATTTATTTTTGATTTTTCTCTCTCTTTCTGGGCCTTGAACTTCGCTTACTCTGTGTGGAGGTTAGAACTTCTTGATAAATCCAATTAATTAGCGAGCAGTTGGCATCTACAGAACACACACTACATCTTTACATAAAACTTCTTCTGAAATAGTTGTTGTTGGACATGTAACTACAGTCAGTGTTTGAACATGAATTTTTTGGTAGGACCATTGTGCACAAACAGATGTATTAGAATTACATTTCCATGAATTTTTGACTTTTTAAAAATTAAAAAATATCCAATGGATTAGAACCAATTCCAGATTTCAGCCTATCTGAACCAACAAAACCATCAGATTTCTGAATTATTGCAAACTAGTAAATTGACTGTAATCTCTCGGTGCTTTTTGTGATATGATTCCAGATTAATCTGAGGGAAGAGACTCTGGAAAAAAGGACTCACATGATTTGGGATTTGGGATGACAAGTGGTCCAAGAATGTTTGCTGTAGATACAGGGACATGCACTTCTTGAGTACAGTGGAACATGGATAACATGGATACAGTTCAGCTTAGAATTCAACTGTAAGGAAGCATTTGAAGCCAATGAGTTTGTACATGGAACAAAGGAGGAACCAGTAAAGTCCATGTGAGAGGATCTTTCATACCCAGTCTAGTGGACTAACAAGGAATATATATATTTTTATTACTTAAAAGAGCTATTTGTCAGGAAAATATTTCTTGATTTCTTTTGATCTCAGAAGATATCACCTGAAGTTAATGATCTACTAATTTTTTACTGAAAAGACAAAAAAAAATTATCTTTAACTGTTAATGTATGCTGTTATATTCACTATATATGTACTATTACATTTAAACAATATTTCAATCTCTATTTTCCCTGGTGGCATATTTTCATACATCTGTTATTAATACACTTGTGTGAGAATTTTCTTAAAGATTCTAAAAAATTCTATTCCCTATGGTTGACCCCTATATTGTGGATAAAATAAGCTCTGCATCATTTACCAGACACACAGAGTAACTGCAATTCATGGGATTCAGAGTTCATTTTATTTGAACATTGCTAGCTAGCACTAGGCTTCATATTGCTTCTTCAATACCCAGTAAAAAAATAAGAAAGCAAATTCTATGATGTTCCACTCTTTACAGCACATCAAATTTCCTTGGTGTTTGAAGTTCTGTAAAGCCATCTGTTAGACAAAGGAAAAGGGGAAATAAGAAAGCCATGCATACAGAGTCAGGGTTCAGGGCAAACCTTAGATCATCTTTTCACAGGCAAAAATGGTACCTATAACTCAAAGGAACTACATCAGAATAATTAAGATCAGAGGATGACCCTTCAGGACACATCCTGCTGACTCTGTCTCTGACCTTTTGTATGGCTCTGTAGCAAAAATGGGACAGGGAGAAACTCCCAAGGGGTTACACAGAGATCCTCATGACACGAAGGATATGTGGGTGCCATTAAACTGATGCATCAGCTCTGTCTCTGCATTTCCACCCAAGGGATGTCTGAGCTTGGCTGGGATCAGTGCTAAGTGCTGGGTAGCATGATAGGAATTGCTGTGTGAGAGAAAGCCCTATAAAAGAACAAATAAATTATGAGTATAGCCTAGTCATGTAAAAGACTCCCAGACACACGTGGAACCTGGAGGTTTGTGTAATTTTCTGTAACCTCTGGCTGGAAATGGCAGGGATCTTTTCATGGGAAGCAAAATATGGCCCCTCTGAAATAAGGGATGAGTGTTATCACACAGGACTTTTTTTCCTCGTATGGGGTCTGATCAGGCTTCCAGCATTTGCCCAAAGTTTCAGGACTGGTGCTACTTGTCCCCTTTTGGAGGGAAAAGAGGGAAAGAAAGAAAAAGAATTATATGGTTACTTCAAAAGCTTTTGCGGGCTTGAGAATCACTTAATTCAGCTCTTTGTTGACTCTTGCTGAGGAAACAGATCAACAGGGCTTTTACCAGGATAATTTAGGGGGGAGTTACATGTGGGAAGCTGAACAGCAGTTTCAAAATTGTTCTGGTTCTGCAGTGAAATAGCCATGGGAGCTGATTTTCAATTTATTGGAACAAGGATTTGTTTTCTGGGTATGCATAGAAAAACAAAAACATCCCTTTCTTTTCTCAAAATCTATGTCTTATTTTGATAATGATATTAATAAAGAAGGCCAGGAAAGAGCAGAGCTGTAAAGAAAAAGCTACATTATCACCATGATTTCTCAGCAATGCTCACATTGATGCCACTACTTGGAGAGAAGTTTTTGGACCTCAAAATATACACTGGAACATTTCATTGGCCAAAATGGAGGATGTTGGTTATCCCCACACTGCAACATGTGTGTGTTGCTCAGTCACCAATTTTTGCTGCCAAGGAGGTTAACACCTCTGGGTAGAATGTGGATCTTCACTCCAGTGAAAGTCGTGTAGCTGAAGCATCTTGAAAATGCTCTTTGTTACCAAAATACTATTCATTTTTGTGTCTGAATCTTGCATATCCCTGTAGGTGAGTACAGATTATAACTAGCCCAGGTATATCCCGTAATTCAGTGAGGCTTGGTCACTTTGAAGTTATATCACCCTCAAGTAGAGTATGGCCAGATTTCCTTCGATTTCAAACAGCTGTAATTTTTTTCCATACCTATTAACACTGATGGTGTGCAGTAAGTCTCAGGAGTTTCCTGGAAGCTGGCAAATCTTTTCTATGCCAGTAACATGAACCAAGAGATGTCTAGTGTTGCTAAGTGGAGTGAAACACTTTTTACTGCTTTCTTTGTACAGAGAATAAATAAAAATATTTGTTAAACCTAGGTTGTTTTAACTCAAAAGATATCAACTTGATGCTTTCCAAACAAAAATTATTTTTTTATTCAAAAAATTCAATCTTAGAAGGTAATTACATTTAATAGTGAACTAGATGAAAAATTACAAAAATATTAAATAAACCCACAACAAACAAAAACCACACCCAAGCTTAACAATTTCATTTGATCAGAAATGGAACAGCTTTCACTCTTTTATTTTACTGTGGAAAAAAATAGCCAATGGCTGATTGTCAAATAGCGTAAGTCAGATATTTGTGCTGCCCTAGTTATAACCACCTTTCAGTTCTGTGACAACTGAAGACAATTTGCATGTTTGATGTTCTTTTTCTTACAGCCCATCTTTACTGAAAAAATAAATACTATTCATGACCTCAGATTGTGTAATATTTTAATAATGGAAAAGACGCTTAATTGCAAGTACTAAAGTTTGAAACTGTGAACAAAAGTGGTATTTCTTCCCTGTGGCACACGGTTGCTGGTTTGCTGTGGAAGGCTGTGTGCATCCATGAAAGTGATTAATGCTCAGTCCTGGCTGCAAAGGGATAACGACATTCTTTGACATTTTCTATCTTACATCATGCTGTGTTTGCCCACTTTCATAAGCAAATCTTTGCAAAGAGAGAACCACCTGTATCTGCTTTCCCCATCTAACACAACTTTGCAGAACTTCACGTGATAAAACTAGTTTTCTCTACCACTAGTTTGAAGAGTAGCAGCAGAAATTGGTGTTAGTGTTGTAATTCTCAGTGCTAACTTGCTGACCTTGCTTTCTGTAAAATTGCTGAAGTGCTACCTAAATTTTAAATACTTGAATTTTACTCACAATATCCTTAGAGTTAGAGTATTGATTTATTTTTCAGTATGAATATTTTCATTAATTCAAACTTAAATGAAAAAAAAAAGAAATAAATTTCCCTCCCCCTTTTCTAAGGAGCACTTAAGGAAATGTGTTTAGAAATGCCACACTGAAAGTTCTCACCCTTTTAATTGCACACTGTCCAGTCCTGCTCTTTGTGGTTCCTGGAGCATCCAGTTGAGATCTGGGCCCTGCTCCTGCGAGCACTAACTGTACATAATCAGAAGCAATCCTGTTTCCAAGACCTTCAAGGCAAATGAAGCAAGACAGGAAAAATAAGCACCAGTGTTCCTGCTTTTTCCAGCTGGGCACTAAGGGACTGAGTGATTAGGATACTTGCCCAGTGTCAGTAAAGTTTATTGCAGTAACAGGAATTGAACATATGTCTTCATTTTCCCAGGCTCCTGCTTTAAATAGAGACCCTCTTTCCTTCTGTGAAACCTTATTCTGTCTGAAATGCTGTATTCAAAATTCATAATGGTTGAACCTGAATATTTGAACATATGTTTTTCAAATTTGTTATATTTTTGCAAACTTCAAAAAAATTTGCCTGCTAACATTGTGTCTTCAAAGGCCATTAAATAGTCTGGGCCTAGATGTCAGGCCACAGTTTCAAAAACTTTTGCCAGCACAAATATCTTTCTTATGCAAACAAATCAATATTTATGTGTCCTAGCTGGACATTTGCATGAACAAATATGAGTTTTGCCTGGGCAAATACTGATGCATGAAGCCTCCGCTGGCATGTCTCAGGATGGAGTTTTAACTAAACATGTTTTCTAGCAATAAGTAAAGTGTCCATTTTGAATGTGTAGATTTTTATTGCATAAGGAGAATGATGAACTTCATATTAGTAAAATTTTGAGAAATAAATGCTAATGGGGCAGAGGAGAAATGTTTGATTCAACATTTTCTATTAGCTTGTGAAGTTTAGTAAGTTTTCCTCTTACAAAGCTATTTTCTCCTTTTGCAGTGTACTCTAAAATTTACAATAATTTCTAGATGCAAGCTCTCCTACACAAATCATTAATTCAATGTCTATTTAACTTCTTGGTTTTGAATTACATGCTTTGATTCAGGGCAATAAATCAACAGCTTTTGAGGGGACAGGGAAGAGAGAAAAATCCAGTGATTTCAATTTTCACAGAAGGGCTTTTTGTGTTCTTTTGCTTAGGATTTATCTTGGGTCATCCTTGTTGGCTGTAACTGCCCACCAACATCAAATAAGATCCTCACTTGAGAACTGGAGACTGTCCAAAGTTTATGGAATTTAAATAAATTTAAATAAATATCATCTCACCTGCAGTGCAAGTTCAGACTGGGAGGTCTTGAGGGAGTCTGTTTCCTTCGCTCCTTCTAGTGCCCTGGAATTCCATCCAGAAAAAGAAGTAGGTGCCCAAATGTAAAATTGCAATCCAAAAAACCTCTGCTTACTTGCTACCAAATCATAGAAGTATCTAAACTTCACACAGAAATAAATCACATTGCTGTAGCGCGATTTATTTTTTTCCTCAGACATTCTTAACCTTCAGAGGTTTCAGTTCAAAGAAGCCTACAAGCTACTTGCTAGGTAGACACCATGCCATGGTGTATTGAATCCATGTCTTCCCAGCATTAGTACACAGGGAATCAGGAGATGCAATGGACCTGTCAGCAATAACAGGTACAGGGGGTTGTCAGGCAGGTTTTTTATCCACCATGTAGAGCTGGTAACATCAACTTACATTGTTCATACAAAATATAACTATAGGAATGAGATGAACCTATTGCTGTTGACTTATCTGCATTCTCATCTGGCTAACTACTTTATACGGAGAGGAAACTCCCCTTAGGAGCCATCAGTTTTCCTCCTAACACCCTCCTTTTCACTGTTTAACTGAATGCCCTTCATTTTGTTTAGTTTTGCTTAGGAGATTTCTCTTCTGATCAGATGGTTTCCATGTTGAAATCGACTGTAAACAAATGGCAAATTACACTACATATATAACTTATTTATCAAAAGTGTCATCTTTTTCCTATACTGCAGTCCTTCTACCCTGCATCACAGGGGCTTGTGAGACAAATGAAGCTTGAGGAAAAATTAGGAGATACCAATGGTTATATCTATCACAATTCTGTGTCATGTTAAATGTAGCTTCTGAAGGAAAGACCATTTAAAATGGAATTCATGCTCATCTGAGGATGATGTTTCCAAGCCTGAACTTAAAATGTGAAACATACCTTCCATTTTCACCAGACTTGGCTTTTTTTGTAATGTCAAGATGCTCTGTTGTATCCTCCCCAACCTGACCATGACGATTTCATCCTGCTTCTTTGAGTCTGCCCATAGATGTGGTTTTAACTCCAGCAGCAGGCAAAACACAGTATCACAAGTTTTGGCAGGAAGGAGAGGCACCTGAACCTGGCAAGTGGAGCATGTTTTATGCTGACACCTTCAGACAAGAGAGTCCAGACCGCCAGAGAAGCCCCCAGTGGCATGGAAGGCCCAAGGCCAAGCAAGCAGGTCAGGTCAGTAGCAGGTCAGCGAGTCAATGATGGGATCACTCTGCGCTTGGATGCACTTGCAAGGGTTGGACACAGCCCTTTGTGGGTCAAAGTGTGAGGCAGGTCCATGATCAAGCCAGAGAATCAACTCAGGGCATGAGGATTAAGGCGCAAACCACCAGGATACCCTGGCAAGGACTGGACACAGTTACAATGCAGCCGCCCTGACCAAAGCTGAGACCAAAGCTGTCTGCTAGGACATGAAGAAAAAAAAATAAATTATTATGCACAAAGAAACTGGCATTATTTACATAAAAGTTCATTCATAGCTCCTGCTAAAAAAAGTTCTTGTTATTTCTCATGAAAATTCCAAAGTGTTCACAAAGGAAGCCCCCATTTAAACAGAAAGCAATTGGCTTTTAAGAACGATCACTTCTTGCACTTTTTTCCTTAAATGTGAACACAATTTATGAATTTGTACTTTCACATTAGAACCCAAATTTGTATGCTAGATATTAATAAATAATTTGCATTGGTTTTAGATAATAGCTCTGCTTCAAGCATGTAAGGGATTTTATGAATCAATTCTTCACACATTTCATGGCCCCACCCAACCCCTCAAATAGATTATCATAGATAAGGCCCAAAGAAATGGCCATCATATCTTATGAAATCTCTGTGTTTACTTCTGACAAAAACTGGCAAACTTCTGATGAACCGTCTTCCTATACTCATTGTTAATGGACTGGTGCTAACCCAGAAGGTCCATGTCCTATATTGATGAAGATAATTAATTAAATTAGGTATCTTTCATGAATTTCAGACTATTTTTTCAGCTCAATTCTCCAGTTTGTAGACATCCAGCACTCTTTTGTGTCATTGACTAATTAATGTAAGCATCCTATAATCAGTTTCTTCATATAAGCTGCTAATGAAAATACCAAACACTTTTAAACCCAGAAGAGCCTTTCATGGATCTCCATTCAATGCTGTCTCCATGTTGATGGTGAGCCATTATTAACTACTCTGTGGGCAAACTGTGCTGTCTGTGTCTACACACATGATTTGACTTGGAGAAGCAGTCTCTTTGTCCTGCTGATGCGTGTTGATTTAGTTTTATGGAGGTTTTGGATTGTGTCACCTAGACTCCCTTAAAATGAAGCTAAATCTGGATTTTGACTCCAGACATATAAAGAAAGCTCTGCAAATCTGTGCAGAGACTGGTGGAGTGCAAACTAACGATTTGTTCTTTTGGTGTCTTTAAACACAGGCCTCTAGTTGTGTCTACTCCTGTTGTGTCAAATTGTGTATTGTGTATGCATGTTTTCCATGCTTGTTTATCAGACTGTCATCAAAGAGAAATTTGAGAGTTTACCATTAAAGTAAAAAACACACTTTGTCATGATTCTCATTCCATACAGTGTGTGCTACAGTGACTCCACAGTCACTGTGCTACAGTGACTCCACTCCCTTGCTTTAATTTTTTTTTTAATGGATGAAAGCTCCTCTGTGATTTGTAACTGACTAAATATAATATATCATATATAATATAAATATAATAATATTATAAATCAATAAATAAATCTACAAATACCCAAACTGCCTCTTGATATGCATGGGAGCTACAAATCATCACATTAGTCAGAATTTTGTGAAGTAGCATTATAGTCTTTCTCTCTGAAATCTGCCAATTTGAGCACAGTTCTTGTCAAAACTGGTTTTTTTTTCCCTAGTTCACTTTTATTTGTCCATTGTACAATCAAAGAATATGTTTAGTAAGACAGTTATTTTATCTGTATTGGTCCCTGCATTGGCTGTAGCTGTTGGTGTGTCTGCTGCCAGCTTTTTGTAGGAAATTGAGCTGGTCCTCTTGGTTGTTGCTAGTAAAATGAATTGTAGGATCTTCTAAGCAGCAGGACCCTCTGTAAAATTCTTTCATAAAATGTGTCTTTCCAGAGCAAAGCACCAAAGCATGCAACTGGGGGAAACGAATGAAAGAAAAGACAAGTTTCCTGTCCCTCCTTCTAACTTCAATGAATCCTTCATGTTGGGAAGTATCACGTTTCTTGAACCAGCAGAACTGGAATGCTGAAAGCTTGTGAGAGGAAGCTTTAGCTGAACACAGACCAAGATGCTGGGCCCAGTCCTCTTCTACCATAAATGGATGGAGCCCCATCCATGAAAAGTGTGCCATTTGATAGTATTTACACTTTTTCCATGGTACTAACAAGCCTCTTTTCCAGCTGCAAACTTTTGCTTTGTTCTCTGACTCTGATTTTCTAAGAGCTGTATATTTGCTTAGTAATATTTACTAAGGGATTCAGTGCCCAAAAAACTTTGATGCATTTATCACACTCCCTGCTTTTGGCTCTAATTCTCCTCTAATGCTTTTAATCAATGTGAAATAATGTGTGATGGTAGTGGCAGTGTCTTTGGTGAAAGCTGCAGGAGAATCAGGCCACACATATTCTTGTTATTTATACACCCAGAAGTTTCTGCTCTGAGAGTGATTATAGGAGTGTCAGCACCAAAAGTGACTTTGGCAACAGGACTACTTCCCCAACAGACTTATCTTGCCTTGCCATCAAGAAGCCCTCCTCAGATATGCCCAAGCTTCCTTGGTTTTTGTTGGTTGTGTGGCCTACATGGCATGTCCTTTAGCTCAGCCTCGTGCTTCCTGTGTCTGGACTAAGTCAAACAGAAGGTCCATCCAGATGGTTTGTGTTCAAAGTGCTGGCACCAGAGAGATATGTGAATGCCCAGATCAGGCCACCACTTCACACAGTAGCCACAATGGCAAATCATGGGATTCAGTAGGAACTGTAAAGATCTTGGGGAACAAAAGAGGGCCTGGGAGATTGGAGCCTTCCCTGCAGCAACCAATGAGTTGTGTGTAGTGCCTTTCAGAAGAGTGATTTTGATAAGAGGAATAGCTCAGGCTGTTGAAAGTGGTCTTCCTAGGCTTCTTCAAGGAGGAATTACTAATTTATCAGTTGATATAAATACTGAATACATAATATAAATACATAAAAGAAATACTGAATACATTATATAAATACATAATATAAATACATAAAATACTGGTTTAATTAGTTGACTGGCTTCTGCATCATATCATTGATTCAGATGATGAAGATCTTAATTAAGGCTAAGGTCTATCACTGCATGCAGCAGTCACTTTCTCTGTCTACTTCCTGGGGATCTTTCAGCTTCAGGAAGTGATAAACAATAAAAAACCCATTTTGTAGAGTTTCTGATGAGTTGTGTGGGCCAGTCAAAAGGGAACAAATACTTCCGAGAAGTCTTTGAATGACTATGAGTGAGTCTCTGGTTATCATGCAACTGGAAAGAAATAATATCCTTTATAACATTTCAGTTTTTTCAATTGCTCATTGTTGCTTGTGATTCTGGTTGCCAGGATTTAATGACCATAAATCTTCATGTGAAAGCAATGACTTGTATTTTCATTTATGTAAGATGTGTTAATATGCATTAAGATATGGGAATCAAATCCCAGAATAGACCAGACTTCAAAGGACATCTTAATGCAATCTGAACAGAACATTTGCAGTTCTAGCTATAGTCCAAATCCTACTGGCTCAGACTTCTTTCCATGATTCTTTGCAGATTTAATCTGTAGGCAGCTTAGGCTGGCTGGTCCATAATTTCTTAAAAGCAAATCTTCAATCACAACTTTAGATATCTCCAGGAATATCAGTTTTAACACAGAAAAATCTTCATGTAAAAGATCTTGTCACTGTGGCAGAATAGTAAAGAGAAGGCCCTTGGCCAGGCTTGAGTGATTTTGTGGATCATTATGATTAGATTTTTGCTGCTACTATATCCAACTAGTGCCTATGCTGTATCTAAATAACAGCTCTATCAAGCATTAGAAAGGATTTTAGTAGGTTGTTGTGTCACAAGCTTCACAGAGACCCCTTTCTTTCTAAATTTCACAAAGATGCCTAGGTGTGGTTAGATCCATTTAGTCTCAGTTTTGATCAACAACTTATGTTTTAAGGGTTATAATATAAGAAGATTCAGCTAGAAATGTAAAGGTTTAAAGTTTTTGGCCTTGCAGATTGGCAATTACAAAACAACCAAGCATCTACGTAACTACTTTAGGATTTTATCTCCCCTATTTGATCAGATTTAGTGCTTTTTACTCTCCAGTCCAGAAATTAGTGTTCCCACTTTTGTGCTGGACATACACTGCTGATGTCCCTGCCAGAGATGGGGATCTATCCAGACAGCTCATCTTGAAATATTCACCTGGTGTTCTTATCTCGGGGCAAACCACATGGCCCATCAGACAGGGAAAGTGTGTGTGTACATGAGGATACATGCAAAGACACAACTTTCATCACCACCACAGTCATTCTTTGTCCTGTCTGCAACTTCTTATGCATTCAGTGTTGCAGCATGAAATCATTTGTCCTGATTGCTTAGTCAGCCTCCAATACAATATAACTGGTTATGCCTATAGCTGATATCCTGCTGTTACTTTAACTTCAGCAGTAAGATGAAAATGCCACAACTGCATTTCATTTTCTGGAAAACATGGTTCACTTGTGATCATTGAGTTCTTGCCATCATTTGAGTGGTTTAACTGAAAAAATTAATTTTAACCAAGAGATTTGTGTCCTTATGTGTACTAACTAAATACACATTAAGACTCCATCCTAGGTAATCGTGTGCTATCCCATAGCTTTATTTTCATAATCATTCAGTGTGTTATGAGAAAAAGAAAAGAAGGTGCTTCAGAAAACTTGTGGCTTACTGAGGGAGCAGTGCTTATTCTCCATGAGTTACAATTCACTCTTGAAACATTCAAGTAAAATCTGCTGCTTGAAATCTGGTGGGAACTCCAGTCTGGTCCCCTGGAATTCTAAGTATAATGCTGACCCATGCTCTTCATAAAGTAGAGGGCAGCAATATGATGATAAGCTCTATGTGAAACTGAATATCATCAGCTGAGTCACACATGCCCTGCTGCTGCCTCTGGGCAACCTGCTCCACCCGAGTCATGCTGCTTCTGCTAGGTATCATAATCAGCTATGTTAAGGTTCCAAATATATAAATATATATCTGAGACACTTTGCAGTGAGTGCCATCTATGCTTTGATCTATCCTTGAGCGTTCAAATATGTTGGAAAATCTGGAATAACAGGCTGCATTGTCTACAAATGTTACCTACGAACATAGTGAAACATAATGGAAGAAACAAAAAACCCTATCACTGAGCTGGGAGTGGTGGAACCTTGCCTATGCTTCACCTCCACCCTCAATTAAAAAATTATCTCAGGCACAGCAGCATTCATGGCTTCCTGGCTTTTGACACTGGAACTAGTCATTTGCAATGATTTCTAGGAAGGTTGATGAGCACACTGTTGTATTACCAATTCTTTCCACAAACCTTTGGACCACTAAATTTCCACAGCAATTCTCTGGGATTGGGTTGCTTCACCATGGACTCATCATCATCATCTTGTCCAGGCACTGCATCAGTCATAAATGGAGCTGCCATAAGGTTTGCATACACTGTGTAATGAAGAGGGCTGGCATCAGTACATTGTACAATGGCCCTTACGATATTCTAGCATTAAAACTACAGGAAAACAGCTGCCTGTTAGAGTAAATAACCTGTACCATTTGGATCTTTGCATTATGCTCTAACAGAATCTTCTGGCTTCTTCTTGTCCATTCTGACGATCATATTCTCTGGTCTCTTCACCCAAGTAACAAGCAATAGGAGAACAAGAGGAGATGGCCTCAAGTTGTGCCAGGGGAGGCACAACTGCCATCCATGCTGGCAGTGCAAAGCAATGAGAACTATTAGCATGGGATCCACTTAAGTATCTTAAATATCTGCCTAAGGTGAAGAACAGTGTCTCGATAGTTTGTGTTAGTTAGACTGACTAGATGCCCATTGACTCTAAGAACAATTTACAGTGATTAACTCCTGTGTAAATGTCCACACTGTACCTTTCAACCATCAGGCAAATGGTGTTCCTAATACACAAAGTAGCTGATTCCACCTTAATTTATTGAGGTTTCAGGGGAAACTTAGAGAATCCAAGTATTTGTATAAAATAGCTCTTATTTTGCTTGGTAGTCCTACTTCTGACCTACTTTACTTCTTCTACTGCTGCCATTGCTGCTTTCCATTGGAGTGACATGGAACATATGTGTTAGGGCACATAGAACAGAACAGGGCACATTACTTCTCCCAGGAAACTTGGTTCTGGTTTCCCAAGGCTGTGCTCTCCTTAGGCATCAGCGGTGCATCAATTGCAGAAAGCACTCAGCATGCCTTAAGAGCAAATTATTTTGACTTAGGTGTCTTCCATGCAGTTTGAATGCTCTTGTCCCAGGCTTTAGCTGTGAAGGAAGGACAGTTGTGACACTGGGCTTTGTGTTGGAACATCAAGTAAAGAAAGTACTCCCATTTTTATTACCCCAAATGAAGGATTCTCTTTCCTCTCTCCTAGCTGCTACTCAGATTTTCGAAGAAGAAAAGGCTAGCACATTTTTTGGCACAGAAACTCTTCCAGATTGTGTCTTATTTCTTTGAACTATGCAGGCTAAGATAATGATATAAGGATAATTATATTTCATGCTTCAAACTGAAGTTGATAGGAGAGAAATATCCTTCTGTGTGGAGCTTCTACATCATGTTTAAAACATCTGTTATTAGCTGAAGCCAGAAAGACCTATGCATGTACTTAATGAATATATTTAAAGAATAGAGAAAACAACCAGCATTAAAAATTTTTTAAAAACTCTTTTTCCCCTTACATTAGCTAATCTGATATTTCAGTTGCATCAACAGTGAGATTGTCAATGATATATTCCATACACCTGAAAAGTAATTCACTAGCAGCTTCAAAACATGCAGCTTCCAGAAAAAGATAATAGTAAAATTATCTTTATACACAAAAGTTCTTACCACATGAAAAAAAAAAGCTTAAAGATAAGTAAAGAATGCTTCTTTAGAAACAAGTTCACCAAAAAGCAAAGAAAACCCATTGATTTGCTACTCTAATAATTCAACTCCGCATGCAGCAGAGATTAGGTCTAGAAATCAAGAGGCTGTTTCCTGAGGGCTGCTGAGCTCTGTCGCCAAGGGACATCATGTGAGGCTTTCTATAACCTCTCTACAGCCCCTGTCACTATTCAGGAAGCTGAGTAGTGATGTATTGAAGGCTGCTTCAAAATTAGTTCTTAGATTGCTGCAAAGGGCCTGGGTTGCCCCTCTTTTAGGTTTTGCCCATTTTAAAACCATACTGAGTGAACATAGGTCATGCAAATGAAAAAATATTAATAAGGAAACTTCTTGGGACTTAGAAGAAGGCTTCTTCTGAGATCTTTGTTGCTGGGAAGGGAGCTGGAGGAAGAGCACTCCAGTAATGCAACAGTATGCAGTGAGGCATGGCTGGCATTTGCCTGTCTGCTGGAATATGAAGCAGCAGGACTTCTGTGTGACAACTGGCAGGACGAGTGAGCAAAATGCCTTGTGAAATAAATGAAAGCCATCTCCTGAAATGAAGAATGGTGGTGGACTGAGAATGATTGTGCTCACACAAAAAATCTGAGATGTGAATCCTTCCTCTTTTATCATTTCACCTATAATGCTCTTGGTGTAGATGCTTTCATAAGAGGGAAGTGGAATGCAATTGAAAACCTTATGTTATCAAATTAATACCTCTGGAAGAAGAAGAAGGAATTCCTTTGTTGCCTTCATTTAGCCTCCAGTGTAGATTTTGTAAAATTCTAGAAATTTTGCTTTCCTTCTTGTCCATTTAACTTAAAGAATAATTGAATAACTCCTTATCTTTTTTTCTTTCCAGCACTAACTAGTTTTGATACTTTACATTTGAATCATTGTGAGGTCTTGAAGGTGTGACAAATACATCAATAAATAAAAAGCTATAACTTTGGAGTTGGTTCCAAATTTGTGATTTGTGAAAAGGGACAGAATATCAAGACCACCAGACTCTGGTAAGGATAACTCTTTCACACTATTAGGGTAATAAAGGGCTGCAGAACATAAAGTGGTGCCATTTGGAAAGGGGCTGGGGCAGCATCTGACAGGATATTTGACAAAGCAGTTTGTTTGTACGTCTCTTGCTGTACACAACATGAAGCTGAGCACTGGCAGAAACTGTCTGAGTGAAAGGATGTTATTAGGTCCCCCTTGCCTCTGTGACTGGCAACGTGACTGTAGCTGACTGATTAGTGAAATTGTTGATCATCATTTTTAGTCTTGAAATTGCAGGGCTGTGGTTTTTATTTTGTTTTGCATTGTTGTTAGAGAACAGGATAATAATTCATGATGTGACCATATAGGCAATAATAAAAAATCCCATAAAACAAAAACCTTTGCAAAGCAGTTGGTATTCAGTTCTCCGACAGGCAGAATTTAGAATAAAAGGTTGCTAACATTTTGGCAGTGTTTTCCTCAGGCTTTCTCTTGTATTTGTGCCAAATATCTCACAAGGCTCAGATTTGATTAAAATGGCAATGCTCTCTGCTACTTGAATGTAATTAGAGCCATTCATTACAGCTTTAGTTGACAGTTTGGCAACCTGTACATTTTTCTGAATATGGACAGCATTCCATGGAAACAGTTCAAGGAAAGAGTGCAATAAGAGGGTCTTCTCTTGAACTGCAGCAAATGGAAGGCTGTCTATGTTTAGAGAAGTTTACAGGTTTCCAAACTGTCAATCGAAGCTGCAAGGAAGAGCTCTAATTAGATTAACCTAGCAGAGCACTGCAATTTTTGTCAGCCAGCTCCTGTGAGCCCCTGCTGTGTAGTTATCACATATGCTACAGGACCATTAAGTATTTCTATTGCAAGTCACTCTATTTTGCTGCTATTAACCTCGGCCTTAGAACACTGTTGGATGGAAAGCAAATCAAGAAAATGTGTTTGCCTATGAAAACCTTCTCTTCAAGCCAGCTTTTTGCAGAATTTAGAAGATTTTTAATCAGTTTGAATTCCCCACCCTTGCTAGTACGAGTACAACAAAATGGCACCAATAAGGTCAGAGGTTTCTTTCAGGTTGCAAATGAATTGTATCTTTCGGTTCAAAATATCAAGTCAACTATTGTTATTTTCATTTTGCATTCTTCCACACTGTGTCCTGAAACTGAAAAAATATATAAAGAAATGTAATTTAAAGCATTTCCCAAATCATCTGAAAACACAAACCTTGTTAATTCCAATCTAATTTTCTTGTGATTAAAATAGGAATGCTTAGTCCAAAGTCTGACAAGAACAGCTCTTTGTTTTCCCTGTGGCTCATCACTGTTAAAAGGGAAAAGCAAGGGTGCAGATTAATGGATGGGGCAATGTGTAGTTTTGTTTTACATTGCTTGTTGCTGGGCTACTTCACTATGTGAACCTGGGGGATGATAGCCTCATTGCCCTTTTGGTTTCATGGCAAACTGAACACTGAGGCTTTGCAGGAAAGAGGGTATATCTGGATGAAAAATAGGTTCTAAGCTGGAAAGTCTCGAGATCATTTGTTTGTTTACATAACTGTACACAAAGCCCAGTTCCTCTCAACAGCAATAAGAACATGCAGACCAGGAGCTTTTGCCAAAGTCTCCCACCAGACAGTTTAGCCATGTGCCAGAGAAACATCTGTCTCTTTCTGCCTCAATTCCTTTATCCTCTGACATTTAACTGCTCTCCTCATTCCCAGACTTGTTAGATGTCCCTGAATCCAGAATCTCAAAAATCCTCTTAGCTCTGGGTGGAGTAATGTCTTTGGGCTGAACACTTGGGAATGCTTATATTCTGCTCTGCAGAAGTGTAAGTTGCAGAGCTGTCACAACTCAGGACATGGAAGACACCAGGAAGCAGTTACCTTCCTGAACCTGAACACTTCCCTCTCCTTCCAGATCATCTGGACATCCCTGAGCTAGCTCATGTAATTGCTTTTACAATACCTGTGATGATCCTTTGCATAGTTGCTTGCTTTGTCCATTCTATTTAATTTCTCTTAATCCTTGTGTAATTTTATACTGTATTAAATACATTAGGTAAGAAATCAAGTCAAGCTAAGTCAAACACCATCCTTACTGTCACAAATGTAATTACAAATGTTTAACTATTTATGTGATATTCTCCCTTTCCAACTTTTCAACTCATCATTGCAAATCATTTTATTCCTTTCCCATTCTTGTTGGAATCTCCCTCTGTGTGATCCTCCTTCTTTCCCACACAGAATGTAAATAACAGCTTTCAGATGCTGTTGTTTGGCTTGGCAAAGAGCCTCATAGGCAATACCTGCTCAAGGGATTTTAACTCATAAACTGGGATTTTACTGGCAGGCCAACTGTGCTTGGTGCCTACCTCTGTACAGAAGTGTCGCAGTTGTGTTACATTCTCCCATGAGAGCATTAGTGTGTTTTGAACTCCTGCTTCTCATGGGAGTGCAGTAAATACATGTAAGTGCTCAAAGTTTCTCTATACCTTAGAAATATTTTTATGCAGTTCTGTCTGAAATTTTCTCCAAAATGTGTATGCATTTAGATGTAAGAAGGCACTCATGTCACCTAAGAAGCATCCTAAGCTTTGTGTATTCCACAAGCATTAATATCTGTGTTGAATATGAAAGGGAATTTGAAACAAATGTAGATAAGTATATGTAAGTACACAATTTTACTCTGAGACTACATAAAGTTGACCAAAAGCAAAATAAAATGTTATTTGGAGAGCTCCGTGGTTAGCTTTGTTTCTAGCAGTTTTCCAGTAACTCATTTGTGTTACCCCCTCTGTATTTCAGTCTGAAGACAACTTAGATACAGACATGGTCACAAATGGCCTTCAAATGCATTCCGTAATTGTCTAGGATACACTCAGCACTATTTCTTTCACCTGATACATGGGAATTGCTGTGGCCAAATGTGACGCACAAAACTCCACAATTCACACTTCAGCTTGTCTGAAACTACTATCATTCATGACTGATATTAAATTCATATTTGTTAAAGTTGTCTCCTGGCATTAGAATTATAAAATCACAGAATGGCTCATCTTTGAAGGGGCCCCTTCTTCCCCAAGGTGTCACAATCCTGGTTCCTGGGCTCAGCCGTGCCCTGTGGTGGGGCCATTGGAGCCATCTGGGATGGGCTGTGTCTGACTGAAGCAGCCTGGCTGCTCCTCACAGAGGCTGCTCTGCAGAACCCTCTGCCAGCAGCCCTGGACAGCAACTGATACACATTTCTAGACAGCTGAAAAAAGCCATAAGCCAGTCTGGAATCACCTTTTTCAGAACACATATAAGGCAGATGTGATGGTACTACTGTGTGGTGGTTGGCCTCTTTTCTCCTCATTCCTGGTTGTTTCCATCTCTGCTGCAATCCAGCTCTGCCACAGAAACTCTCCCACTGTCTGTGCATCTGATCTGCTTTCACTGATTTTGATATATGAATTGAAATTCAGCTGAGTGTCTCAGTCTGGAGTACCTTTCATTTATCTGGGGCGGCCTCAGGGGTACGTGGTGTGTGCCAGATACATCTCTCACTTCAGTGTCCTTTTCTGCCTTTGCACTTAAGCTCATGATGAGACTTATGGCTGGATTCTGTTTATTTATTAACAGCTTTCCCTAAGGACAATCCATTTTTTTTTCCCCGGGCCAAGCTCCTCAGAACAAAATGTGTGTGTTTGTTTTGGCTGTTCAGGCCCCTCTCTGTTCACCACCATCTCTCACATGGTAACTGAGGCTATGCTGTTAAGTTGGACTCCTTGGGATAATTTTTCTCTCAGGTTCCTCAGGACCACAAAGGTGGGATGTTTGTAAATGTCCTTCTCTGCACAGAGTCTCTTGTCAGCTTGTCAGGATATCTTGCTCCCAGGGTCCCCCTGAAACCCTGCTGTGTGTCAGAGTGCTTTCCTGGTTATCACCAGACAGTAGAAGGCACTTCCATATATTTCCAGTGTTACCTACCTGAATAGCTCCTCACATGATCTACTCTGCTGCTCTTTGGCTACTCTGGAAGATGTGTTGGGCAGTGATTTTACATGATGAGGTGCTTTGGGGCCCTGCTTAGGGATTTGCCACATTTGTTGGTCAGGAATGTATCGGTGATATCCATATAAAATCATAACTCACCAATGTCAGGTCAGGTTAGGGTTACATGACTCATACATTTATGTGTGCAATGTACATAATTCTCTTACAATATATTTTAAAATACACAGGGAAGAAAACTCAGGCTTAATCATTAAAAATTAAAAATCATAAAGGTTGCTTTTTTCCCCTCTTTCTTCCCTGAGGTGGGATGCCAGGTGATCACCAAACCACTCTATCATTCCCCATTCTCATCTGGGCAAGGGATAGAAAATAAAACGGAAAACAACTCATAGGTTGAGATAAGGCAGTTTACCAAAGCAAAAGTGGAAGTTAGGGAGTGCACAAGAAAAGAGAAAAAAAAAGTTTTATCCTCTGCTTCTCATCAGCAAATGATGTCCGGCCAACTTCTGGGAAGCAAGGCATCAGCACTTGGAGTGGTTGCTCCATAAGGCAAACATTATAAATAAGGAATGCCTCCCCTTCCTTCTTTTTTACTTAGCTTTTATACCTGAGCTGACATCCTATGGTATGGAATATCCATTTGGTTAATTTGGACCAGCTAGCCCAGCTGTGTTCCCTCCCAGGATCAGCCTTTGGATGGAGGGGGAAGGCTGGAGAGGGCTGTTGCTGTGCCAGCCCTGCTCAGCAGCACCCTAAGCACTGCTGAGTTATCAACACCTTGCAGAGCAGAGCTTGGTGAGGGCTGCTGTGGGAAAATGAGCTCCAGCTCAGCCAGCGCCAGCACATTAACCCTGACCATTTAACTTGATGGACTTAACTTGCTTTCACTGAAATGGTCATCCCATTCAGTCCCTTCCTTAATGAAACACATGTAGTCCCTACCTTAATGAAACACAATAACTTTTAGAGCAAGATTCTTGAAGATGTTCTTGTTAAACATTTTATTTCACCACAAAGCTCACTCTGGACTATTTCTTGGCATTCTTCTTGGCTAAATTAGATACTAATCCTTTGGATCTTAACTCTCTGTTAAGCTTTGTGCATAGTTCTCCTGACTGAAAAAATTAACTCCCATCCTTTGACTTTGGTGTCTTTTAGGCATGTTTGTATGTGAAGCAGATAGAAATGAGTATGTTAACAAATATGCTGGATATGTAAGGGAGTTAAGTGCAGGTAGGTAGTTTGCTTGGCTGAAACCAGATACCATGACACTTGCTCCTGCAGCAATCTGACCCTCACCTTTAGCCTTTCTCACTTCAGCTCCCAGTAGTGCAGCTGTCAGTCTCAGCTCCCCCTCTCCTCTGAGCCCTGTGACCAAGGCTGTGCCCACACTCTGGATGCCAGAGGCAGCTCCAGACTCACTACATGGTGTTAATGTGCTGCCAGTGTCCCAGAAAGGAGCTGATCCCATCACATGGCAGA